CAAGGGCACCTATCTTTGTGCCAGACTTTTATTAAGGACTTTCCCTATCTTGAGGTTTAGTGTTCCTAAGCAAAGTTGGCAGAACTTGCAGTATCAAAGCTAAAACCAGTTCTTTATGTAACTCACTGGGTGCTGCCAAGGAGATACAGACTTGGAAGAGCAGGAGGAGACTCTGGTCTTCTTAAACAAAGCTTTCTGAACACACTGTCTTATCTACAGCCAGAATGTTTTTCTTCCCTAAGAATCAACATCTGCCCTCATTAAAAATGAGCTGGATGTCAGCCCAGCTGACTGGATGTCAGGCCTTTTGACCTACAGTCCCATGGCATCTTCCATAGCCAAACAGAGAAAGACATTCAGAGGACAAATACACCAGTGGAAAAATGGGGATTTAAACACAATTGTGACCTGTTTCATTTTTGCATTGTACAAACTAATACACTATGAATAGCTAAATGTTAAATTAATTTATGTTTTTAAGTCAGTCTCCATCTTCCCCTTTTTTCACTCAACCCATACTCAACACTGCTTGTATTAAATCCTGGAAAGCTACTCAACATCTTCTTAATTTTTCGCCTCTTCTACCTCAGCTTGACCGGGGGTAGGGAGAAATCATTTCTCACTCGAGAATCAACTTATTTTCCCAAAAAAATCCTTGACTAAGGCAATAAGGTCAGGTATAAAACACTTACCATGGCGATGTAGCTGTAACTCAGAACGATCTCCCGAATTTTCCTCATCTCTTCCTCCAGGTTGTTGGCCCATACTTCACAGATAACCTGGCTGTTCTCTGCAAGAGCTGCTGGCATCTTGCAGCAGAGGAAAGGCAGCTGATGCTCAATTCAGACGACAGTGTGGGATCACAAGCTGTGCAATCTTATCAGCGAGCTGCATTAAAGAGACACGTAAATAATGCTTCAGGTGAAGAAAGAGTCACATGTCAATAAATGCTCTCTAGCAGTCAGTCACACTTCCATTTCCAGCTTCAAACAACCCATTTAAAGTTTACGTCAAGTTTTTTCTTGCTTTTATCGCTTTCTGTAAACATGCTGACTGAAATCTGGAGCACCTGTTCAGGTCACAAGAGCGGATGCACAATTAACAGTACAGTTATTCATGCAAAGAATCATTACCCCATCTTTCTCCTTCCCCTGTCCAAAGCTCTGAAACTTTGGACACAAGATGTACAGCAGGGAATCCTCATGTTTAACCCTCAGCTACTGCCCCAGCCCTGCAAGTGCTCAGGGCCACACTGGATAGAGCTCTGAGCAACCTGGTCCAGAGGAAGGTGTCCCTGCCCACAGCAGAGGGTGGAATGGGATGATCTTTAAGTTCCCTTCGAACCCAAACCATTCTGTAACTCTGTGATGAAGAGCTTTTAAACACTAATCAACATCAGCAGGGTTGCCAAGAGGCTGGAGCCAGGATCTGCCCAGCGGCGCCCAACGACAGGACAAGAGACAACAGGGCACAAACTGATGCACGGGAAGGTCCACACCTGAGCCATGGAAGAACCTCTTTCCTGTGCAGTGACCGGGCAGTGGAACGCACAGCCCAGAGAGGCCGTGGAGCCTCCCTCCCTGGTGGATATTCCAGAACCGTCCGGACAGCAACCCTGTGGAATGCGCTCTGGGGACGGCCCTGCTGAAGTTGGGGAGGGGGGGCGTCGGACCAGCAGTGTTCCCTCCCAACCCCGCAAGATGCTCCGATTCCCTGATGTAAAAACTCGCAGGACGCGCTGCAGGGCGGTATTTCCCAGCTTACACATTCCAGCCGACACCGGCAGCGCCAGCAAACCCCCCCCCCCCCCCCCCCCCCCAACCACCACCACCGCGGGCTGCGAGACACAGACCCTCCTCAGGGGATCCCGCCCAGCCCCTGAACCACCGGGAGGCACCGAGCGCGGCGTCACAGCCCAGATTTGGGGGGGGGGGGGGGTCCCCCCTCAGGGCCTGCAGGCCCTCGGGACTGCTCCGGGCTGCAGGTACCGCCGGGACTGCGGGGTACCCCGCAGTCCCGGCGGTACCTGCAACCCGGAGCAGTCCCGGAGGTGCCCGCAGTGCCCTCGGTACCTGCAATCCCGGCTCAGGCCGCTCCGTCTCCCCGGTACAGCCGCGATGGCTCCGAGTCCTCCCCGCCTACCGCGGGGGGGGGGGGGGGGGGGGGGGTGTGGGCGGTGCTACCGGGTCTCGCGGCTCTTCCTCTCGCGGCGGGGCGAGGGCGGAGAAGGGAAACGTTTCCCCTCCCCTCTCCTTCACCTCCCCGCCCCTTCTCCCCCCCCCGCCCATTTTCCCCCCCGCAGTGCAGAGAATGGGCTCGCCCGCGCTCACGGCGCTGCGCGCGGGGGGCGCGTCCAAAGCCCGCGGGCGGGGGGGGGAAGGGAGAGGAAGAGAGGGATGAGGAGGGAGGGAAGCCGCTCCCTGAGGGAAGAGGAGCCATCGCGCCCGGCGGAGGCCGGGTGGGCTCCCAGCATGGGGAGCCCCAGCGCCCCGACCCCTCGGGACACGGGCTGCGCTGCCGGGCCGTGGCGAAGCGTCCCCGGGAGGAGCGGCGGCCGCCCCTCCCTCACCGCAGGGGAGGTGAGGGGGGGGGTCCCCCCGGGGTCGGGGCCAGGCCCGAGGGCGCGCAGGGTGGCGGAGGGGGATGGGGGTTTATTTATTTTCCAAGGCCCGCAGTGCGAACCACCATGAGGGTTTATTTTCCAAGGCCCAGAGTGCGAACCACCGCCGTCCCGGCACTTGTCGCCCCTGCAGTGCAGTGCGTATCAGGCTCATTAGTTGAGGATGTTCTGCTGCTTCCTGCAGGAGGGTAGGAGTCTTACAAGTCCCTGCTACACCTGCAGACACTTTTAGCCTGGCTTCTGCTGTGCCGGGAATGGAATTTCAATTACGCTAGCAACAGAAGGTTCTATCTGGTGAGACAGCATAAGCGAACTGCTTGTGGAACGCGGCCGCCAACACTGCTTTGCTGGCTGATGCTGATGGCAGAGAGGCAGTTTATTTGGAAGCTTGTCTAGTAACTAGAGTGCCTGCCTTCTGGACAGTAGGCATCTGCATCTGTTATAAAATACATATGTGTATATATATATATATATGCACTCTAGTGCTGGGTTGTCTGCCTACCATTTGGGAGTCTTTCTTCTCACTGAATCTCAGCTACTTGCCCACCCATTTTGATCAAAGTATCTGGAAAACCAAATCTTGGGGTCTTTCCCACTTCAGACATAGTTCAGTGTCTCAGTTTTAATGTTCATGCCTCAGCAGAGATGTAACATTTGGAAAAGAAGAGGTTTTTTTGAGTGGTGCTCTCTGCTGAGTGACCTTGCTGCTGTCAGCATCTCGTGACATTCCATTATTTCATGTTATTTTGATTCAAAGTTTATCTTCATAGGTGATAGGTACCATTTTGCCTTACCTCTGCAGTCTCTAGCATTGTGTATCTTATCTGTTATGCAATATGCTATATTGGCAGAAAGTAATCACTTTTCTGCCCATGGTCATTTGAGTTTGGTGTTTCATGCTAGAAAACACATTGTTAGCAGGTAAATTTACCAGGTTGGATTATAGCACTCTGTAAATAGATTTTCTTTATTTCCCTAAAGAGTTCAGAGTTAGACACACATATATTTTTCTTGCTTATAAACCCAGCACTTGAAGGTATGTTGAATCTAGGGGAAAAGGGAGGGTGCATCTCCTCAGGACACTAAATATCTGTGCCTTGGTACTCTCACAAAAATGTGTTGCAGGCAGTAATCACCTGTGATAAATTACACTTCTTGTGTTTAAAAATTCCCGTGTAAAAAAAGTCTGTTCAAGGAGGTTTGCAAGCCCTGGTGGGGAGAGCTGGAGACATATTTTGCTGATGGAGATCAGAATTTGTTTTTCCGAGCATGGCTGATTTTGATGATGGCTCATAAAGACGAAGAATAGCTGGAAAAGGCTATTTAAACCTTCCTATTTAAAAAAGTCCCATGGTTTTGGACTTGGAAGTTACCAAGCTCCAGATCCAGCATTCCAAGGAGTCCTGCACCCTCTCTATGGTTCTGTTAAAACCAAAGTAAAAAAAAAAACCAGTTTGTGTGTAGAGTTGCATTATAAAGTGGAATAAAGGGCTTTAGCTCAACATTTTCACATTGGGCAGAGGAGCTATCAGAGTGGGCTTGTACAAGCCTGAAAGGTACTTCAGAGATTTTCTCCTGATACTCTTTTCAAACAGTGAAACAACCAGTGACTTTTAAAAAAACTGTGGAGAGTGATCAAAGGTACTGAGTCTCTAATCGAAAAGCTTTTCTGCTGAGAAGAAATCAGACTTCTTGCATTCCTCAGCAAAAATTGCACCAGCCTTGGAGTGTCCGTGGTGGAGACACCAGTGCAGGGCACAGGGCAGCCAGCAGAGAAGGGCACAGGGCAGCCAGCAGAGAAGCAGCTGATTGGTGACATGTGCTAGACACAAGTTGCAGCAGAAGGTTAATGACTTTTACATCCCTGTGATGTAATGTCATGAGCTGTCACATCCCTGATGTGCTGAGCTGTCTGTTCCTATGGGTATGAATATTTCAGGGATCACCCATGCTGGAATTGAGCAGTGGTTACAAAGGAACACAAAGGTCTTTGAAATTCGCTGTTTTATCAGCTGCTTTTGGCTGTTGGATGAACAGCCCTCCCACTGCAATCTCGAGTCCAAACAAAGATCAGCTCAGGACATCATCCGTGTGGCATCCCCCTCTTGAAATGCCCATTTCCACTTCCTCCTCTGCACGTGAGTACATAGTTTGAAGGAATCACATTCCTCCCTGTTGAGTCTGCTGTCTGTGATAAATAACAATTAGTAGCAGTAGCTAAGAATTACAAATTCCTACTATGGAACAGTTGGAATTAGTCAAGAGAAAGTGTCAACAGCAACAGTAACCCTGTTAAATTCTAATCACGCTTGCAGCTCTCTTTGCAGCTCCAACTCTGCTTGTGTGAGAGGTTGCCTTACCTGAGAATGGCCATTCAAGGTTAACTGTGAGGTAGAGGTGTTTTTCCCCGTGTAGAAAAATAAGTCTGGAAAGTTTGGATAGTAACACTCTCAGTTCTCAGAGCATAGTTTGCAATAAGTTGCTGTATATTGGGTAAGTAACAGATTGGGGCCACATTTGCATAATAAAGACCAATGCTACTGTAAATAACATCTTGCTGTCTGCAATACCATAATTACAGACTTTATGGTGTGTAAACATCATATTCAAAGACAACTAAGCCCAAGCACGTGGTAACCTATATGCATCTTCTTCCTCATGGAACCAGTGCCTGTGAGTGGTTGAGGACACTGTAACAACAGCGTTGGTGTAATTTATAGACTTAGTACAGCAGAATGAAAACTGGACTGCTGTTCTTTTGCCTAATTCCAGAGTAACCCTTATTGCTTTTAACAAATACACCTTTGACCCCTTCAGTTGTACTCACTCTAGCTATTTTGTGCTCAAAACATGAGTTACTGAATTATAAAAACTACTTATCCTTAGGGCTTCGGTGGCTCTTTCATTCTCAGGTACTATGATGAGCTCTTGATGAAAAATTCTTACCTGCAGAGATGTCTCGCACATGCTTAACTGAGTAACAGCACATAGGCACGGGGAACGCTGCCAGCACTAACAGTGACATGGCACTGGTTGCACATGACTTGTCTGGGAGGGGACAGCCAGCTCTGCTTGGAAACACACCCCCGTTGCCTTTGCCTAAACCTTCATAAAGTTTCCACAGCACTAGTGAAAGGTGAGGAGTTGAACTCTGGCCTCTGAATAGACACAAAGGACCTCTCCTAGGCTGCCATCAGCAGGAGGTGAGCAAAGCATGGGCAGCCAGAGTTCAAGGGTGTAGTGGCTTTAAAAGATATGATAGAAACTTTGAGGAAGTCATTAAAAGGCAGTGTCGTGTGTCTGTGTGAAGTCCATTGTAAGCTTTTCTAGGAACGGTGGTTGCCCTCAGATCTGTGCAGGGCTTGGTAGGACATCAAACACCACGTCTACTCCTGCATCTCTTCACAGAGCTTCGTGGATATGCAACTGCTCAGGTGACCAGGTGAGTGGTCCTCTGTTTTTGTTTCTCTGTGTTCTGTACTTTCATGGATAGTTGCAGCCTTTTTTCCCCCCAGGAGCAATTTTCCACTGTCTGTGCACCATAAAGGTTGATTCCAGGGAATTAAGGTCTACAGCAGAAGGTTTAAGCAGGAAGGCAGAAGGAATACCGAGGTGGGCAGCCAGTCCATCCCAGCAGATGTGCCTGTTTCTCAGCTGCACCTCCTGTGCAGGACTGACTGGCTGCTGTCAGAAGGGTGCGGTGCAATGGGCACAGGGCAATGGCACCTCTGGTGCCTCAACTTGGGGTGTCTGGGCACCAGAAATGTAAGGGGACAACAGAGATGGGGCATAAATAATGATGCACGTGTTAGAACAAATGTAAAAAATATGACAGTTCTTTCCTTTTCAGGTTATACTGAGCATTGTAAAACATGGCTTAGAAAAACTAACCTTTTCTGGTACCTGAAGTGGAAAATTCACTGAAAACAGCTCTTTGACCTAATGAACACTTGTTAGACAAATGAAGTTATATGTGGAAATAATAATTTAGAAAATGTATTAGAATACTTATTTTGACTAGTGTATGTTTCCCCTTTAATGTCAAGAGACTGACTGGAAAATCAATTACTCTAAGGTTGAGAACTTGACCTGGATCAAATTTTGTGTTAACTAATTTGAAATAACTGAAAAGGAACTCCTTTTCTTACACAGCTCTAGTTCTAGCTGATATTTGGAAATGGCTGCAGGCAGCTGAGAGCTTCACTGGTTAATTCGGGGCTGTAAAACATGCCAACATGAGAGCAGTGCCAAGCAGCTGAATGGCTTTTTTGTTTGCTGAAACAGCCATGGTTACATGAATGGTTTTTTAATGTATTTGGTGTATTCTGACTCAGGAGAGACATTATCCAACACTAAAAAGAGTAGGTAATTAGATGTTGGGGAAAACCTCATCCATCCAAACTTATCTTGGTTTAATGTAAATAATGTAAAGTTTTTTTCCTGAAATGTGGCTTAATAGGGTTTGCATATCGCATTTTACACATTAATAAGTGTTGCATATTACTGTTTCCAGCTCCCTACTGGATGGTTGTAAAGCTAGGGATGTGCACTTTGGCCAAAGGGCAAATAATAGGAGTTATAATTAGGAAAATTCTGGGGGAAAAAAAAATCACAGTGAAGGTTGTCAAATGCTGCAACAGATTTCTTGGAGAAGCTATGGAATCTCCCTCCCTGCAGACACTCAACTCTTGAAAGCTCTGAACAACCTGTTAAGAAAGCTGAAATGGAGAAAAGCCTCAAAAAGGAATGGATTATTGAAGTCTGACATATTTCAAGCATTAGTAGTGTTTTCTTGGAGGCAGTGGGCACACCTGCCCTGAGAGGACCTCTGTGACAGGATGGACATGTAGTGCATGTTATTTAACAGCTGTGATCAGAAGGTCTTGTAAAAACTATAATCAGAGCAATTTAGCCTGTGGAAAGGATTATTCCTGCTGATGTGTTCAGACCAGCAGGTTATTTATGATTGTTTCTTACGGCTATTCCTCACCAACTGTCTTAGAGTCCAACTATATTTTATCAATAAAATTGTGGTTGGCAAACAGCATAGCAGAGGAGAAGAGGATTGGCTGTGGCAGCTCACAGAGTCCAGTAGTGAGGAGCTCTAGGTCTGGGGAAAACTCAAGGAGCCCTGGGACACTGTGATCTCCCTAACACTTTCTCATTTTAAGCAATAGCCCCTTAGGGCACTTCTCACACTGCCTTTTTTGGCCAAGGGAGACAAAGTGAACTTGGTTAGCATTTCCCATAGGAGTACATCCAACCCCGGTGCTGAAATAGGGGGTTGGGAGTTGAGCTCACGGTTTCCAGTTTCAAATCACTTTTTGCCTGATTTTTCTTTTTTCTTTCTCAGAACTGTTTAACATTAGTTTCTTCCACTGAAGTGTGTGGTGGGCTGTTCTTGTCTTTTTCTGTCCCTGAGTAAGCAGGAAGAAGGTGTCCAGTTTTTCTATCTCGTGCCCTTTAACCTGCATACTGATATGTAATGTAGAGAAACAGAGCTGGAAACACCTGTAAATAAACAGAGCTGTATTTGTAAGAACTTGGAAGGCTATAATTTCAAAGGGGAACTATAACCTCCTGGCTAATAAGGGATTTCTTTTTGGCAGTTTATTCCTCCTTTCTGAATCGCTGCAAGAAGAGTACTCCTAAGAGGCTTTCCCCTATCGTAAAGGTAATAGAATATCATCTTCCTAATGAGTAATTTTCCAGTTGTTTGTACCTTAGACAGGTACCGTTAAACCTTTCTGTGCTTTCCTGTGCACCTTAGGTAACACATTTTGCATGTGCTTGAATATTCTGCTGAGTATGAAAAGCAAAATGGATTAAATTCCCCAATCCTCAGTAATCTGGCTGTTGTATTATTAGAACTTGTGTGTTTGTTCTTAAATATCATGTGAAACCAAGAAAACATTAAGGAATGTTTTGTTATATTTTGCTAATTATATTTGATGATAAGAACATAGCAAGATAAAAACAGCTACACAGTAATCCCTAGGACAGCCAGAACATGGCCTGACATAGAGAACCCTTCATGGTGAAGGCCCAGCAGCTACTTAAACCTTGGGTCTGATTTATTTTTTTGTGTTTTTTGTGTTTTTTTTTTTTTTTAACACAATGATTAACAAATGGTCAAGGCAGAGCCAGATGCAGTGAGATTTATTATGAGGTGGCCACGTGTCCATTTAGGACTTTAACCCTCTAATTGACCAAAACAGGACTTGAAGCAAAGATGATTTTCTCACTTTCCATGTTCTTAGGCTATAATTTACAGTTTCTCTGCCACGTGAGTGAAGGCTGTGTGGAGCTCTACTGTGTTAATCCTTTGTGGCACAAACTCACTTTGTTGTTTTGGAATATTTTTTTTTTTTTCATTCCTGTAAGTTTAACTGCATGTTGTTGTTAGGGAAGAAAACATCCCACATCATCATTTCCTCACAGCCTGAGAAGGGCTGGAGCTGCTGTTGGGTGCTGTGTATTCCTGGGTCAGATCAAGGGAGGCAGCTGTGCCACAACACACCAGTGCCACCAGCAAAAAGCTTTGGGTTTGGGCTGTTCTCCCATATTTCTGTGTTATCCTTGCATCCCTGTTAGTCTTCTGGGACATTTCTAACTCATCAGGAAATAAGGGCATTTTTCTTCTCTAGAGCTCAGCTTTGCTCGATGGTCAACATGAAGGAAGGAGCAGGACAGGACAGGGAACACAGAGTAAATATTTTCCACTTTTGCAACTGACTGCAGGTTGAGGGGATTTGCTGTTTTCAGCAGTGTGTTCTGTCACTCTCCAGCTGTCCAAGGTTCACTTACTTAGATCACCTTTTATTTCAGGTGGAAAGAGACTCTGGATATTCCACCATGGCTGAGCAGCAGAAGCAGGTAAAGGCTCAAGGTCATCTTTTAAGGGAAGAATTATCCAGTGCCTTGGAAGGCTGGATGTGTTGAATCATCTTCTAAGAGAAGTGACAGACACATCCGTGTTCCGATCACTGTAGTACAATTAGGAGCTCATCTCTTATCACTGCAGCAGCATTTCCCCTGCATTTTTCCCTTCCAGTGGCCTGCAGCTACAGCAGCAAGTGAGGAAGGGCCTGTTATCTTTGTTTGTGTGGCAAGAACCCAAAACAGTCCCCATAACCAGAAGCTGGACCACCTCACAGGGCCCAGACCCAGCTGATGTGCCCCAAGCTCTTCACCTTGCCAGCAGCAGCCCTGTTCTGCACTTAAGGCATTTGCCAACTTCTACAAGCCCTTTAAGGGCAAGAGCTCAGGCAATCCATGCAATAGTTTGGAAACTACTGTGCTGGAGCTGTTGGCATGAAGAGAAACAGGGTGTTAAGTACTTGGACTTGATGAACAAGATTTTTTATGTGTATATATATGTAAACTTCTCTGCTTCTACGGCTCATGTAATTACACTGTGTGGGATTTGTTCATGTAATCACTTCATCACATGCAATAAAAGCACAGCCCCAAAACAAAACAGTTTCTGGCCAAAAGGCTTTTAAAATAGCTGAGGTTCTGAGCTTTAGCTACTCTCTATCCTGTCTCAAGGCAAGACTTGCACAGTGTCTGGTGAGTACTAGGAGTTACTAATTTTTGAAACTCTTTTGAGTTCTTCAGCTGGAGGATGCTAGAGAAAAAGCATTTATATGGTATGTGGGTGATGTTCCAGGGTCTAAAGATTAAGAAAGTCTTACTTCAGCATAAGATGGAGGCAGCTGGAAGTATGAAATTGCTAAGAGAGCAGATCTCCAGCCCAGGATCCAGCAGGCACCATCTGAAGCTGGAGTTGAGACTTTGCCAGCCTGGCCAGTTCAGTACACCCAGTGATAACGCTGGCAGCTGATTGCATTGCTCTAATGTAAACCTGTAGGGTTCACAAACATCAAGCTGTAGGGCAAGAGTCCTGCCAATTAATTCCTCCCCAGTTGCTCACTCAATTAAAAAAAAAAAAAAAAAAGGTGATAGGAGGAAATGGTTGGTTGGTTGGTTGTTTTAATAAGGAATACTTCAGTGCTAGTGAGCAAAGGTCTGTCCTGGGACAGATAAATATTGCTGACAAGTCCTGGGTCACATTTAATGTTCTGTAGCTGTTACAGAATCTGAAAGCCATGTCAAGAGGATTTCTCTATATTGCATTACCCTAAACCATTGCATTCACTGTTTCTCAGTGAGCTGCCTCTCTTGTTTGTCCTCTCTGACAGGCGACGATCAGGACAGCAACTATGAATCATTCTGTTTCTACTCCAGTCTGTTTGCACAGCACAACACCACAGTTAAAAAACAGGAAGGACAGAGGAATGAAGAAGACAATAGCTGGTTATTATATAATATTATTTTAAAATTGCATTGATTTTTTTAAAAAAAGCATTGATTTTTTTTAAAAAATTAAATTATTCTCCAGATAGATATTATTCATATTCACTCAGGAAAACCCAAAGTAGGACTGCTGAACTCCAGAACCAATTCCAACGTGGGCCACTCTAAAAGACAGATCATTAATTACAGATTTGTCATCTATTTGCTAAACAACTTGGTTTTGAATATTTAAATATCCAGATATATTGAATGCTGCTTTTTGAATATACTTATTCCTAGAATCAAAAGGTCTCACTGGTAATTTTCTGAGTCTTGCAGTTGCTCTGTGCAGTTAAAATCCTTACTGTGATAAAAAGTCCTGCTAACATTAGAGCTGCCCACAGGAATATTTCTTCAGAAGATAGATAACATTTCTGTGACTAGAGCAGGGATTTATAGAGCTTTGTACTTGTGAGAAGCTGAGTGTTTTAGCTCCCTGTTGATGTGCAGTTGTTCTGTACAGATGGCACATAATACCTGCTGGCCAAGTTGTACTCTCAGCACTAGAGCTGAGTTGAACCTATGATGGCCTAAAGGCACAGCAAAGTGAATTATGAAAGGAAAGGTGTTAAAGCTCTGTTATACTTGGGGGGAAGAAAAGACAAGATTCTAGGCATGTGAGGAGTGGGTTTCACAAAGGGTCTTCAAAGCAAAAAGGAATACTGAGAGGAGAGGTTCTGGATTGACTGGAGCTGTTAACCAGGTCATCTGAGCACAGCAGTTTCTGTTTTGGGTGGGAAGGAGCATAACTGCATCCTGGGAGGGAAAAAATGCTGAAGGAGGGAGGTTTCTGAAGTGGAGCACCACTCCTTACCCCCAGGTATCCTTTTCCCACAGCTCGGAGTTATCCAGAAGCTCCTTGTATTATAGCCCTCCAGGTAATGAGCAGCGTGCCAGATAAAATCAGAGAGGGAAAAATCAGTGGTCCTTTCTCTCCCTTTGGTTATTCCAGAGAAATTCCCCATCAGTGACCCGTCAGGTCTCTGTAAGCACGGCAGATGGATGTGTATGTACACCCCCCTCAATTACACACAATGTCCCATAACAGCTTTGTTACTGTGTTCTTTAGAGTGTGTGTGAAACAAAACAGGCCATCACAGGACTGCCTTTGCCGTTGCAAATACCAAAAATGCCAGGGCAGGACTCAGCAGCACGTGCTTTCTCTTGTTGCTTCTGACAGGAAGAGAAGCTCTGGGATGCCTTGAAGATCAGTGCCTACGTCTTCAGTACAGGCCTGCTCACGTTCACTGCCTTAGTGAACTCTGTTCCTTGGTAAGCTTGTTCAAACAAAGTGGCTTGAGGGGAAACTTTTCTGGAAAGGGGAAAAAAAAGAGATGACGAGAAGATGGGCAAGCAAGAACTCTTGTTTCCACAGGTTTATGCAGGATATAACTTTAGGCGATTTCTGGCAAACAACATGGCTGAGCTTCTACAACTACTTTGAGGGAGATGAGTGGACAATCTTCCTCTATGGTGAGTTTTAACAACACTCCTCTGTAGGAGAAATCATCCATGTACTGTATGTAAAAGGGGTTCATGGACCTGCCAAACTCACTAATCCCACAGAAAAGCACTGGCTTGGAAGCCAGAGACAGCTCACGTGGTGCAGCTGTTCTGCCTTTGGATGGGGTCACCATTAGACCCCTGCACAGACTAAAAATCTGATCATTTGCTGCTGCTGAAATGGCTTCCCTTTGAAGATACTTTGCTCCTGTGAGAACTGAGTGACTCGGTAGAACTGATGACTAAAAATATAAGTACAATTACTGGATTTTACTCTTGCTGTAGTACTGTAAAACTCTTCTCTGTGATTAACAGCTGGTGAACAGAACTTATAGGGACCTTGCAAGGTTGCAGGGATCAACTCAACCTTATACTACTTGTATTTAAAGGAACTCATAACAGAGAGGCCTTTTCTTACCCTCAGTTTTCTCAAGTTTCAACCTATAAGACATTTGTCCTCTCTGACCTCCTCCCCATTCTTTAGGTCTTACCTGGGTGTCAAAACTTGAACAAAATTCCGTTTGGAAGCATCTCAGGGCAGGTCTTGGCACATCCGGGTCCCAGCAAGGATGTCCTCTGGATACTATGCCAGTGTATTTTGTTTCTGATTTATTCGTAGCTCTCAATTCATTCACACATCTCTGCCCTCTCCTCATGCCACAGGGGCTGCATTGGTGCCTGCACTTGCTTTCTGGGGCTTCAATGGAATCCTTATGGTGGCTGATATAACAGGAAAGCCAACTTTCATTACTCGCTATCGCATTCAGCTGGGCAAGAATGATCCTGTAAGTACTTCCCACTCTGCCTCTTCTGCTGGCTAAACTTACTGCAGTCTCTTAGGCCAGGAATGGGGAGAAGAACCTGTTATGCTTTTCTCTTGCAACCAGGTAGGATTCCAGGAGAATCAAGCCAAGTCTTGTATATCCACTGCAGAGAGGAAGGCAGATCCTGTAATCAGGTTACTGATCAGATCTGGATTGGCAGCTTGTTAAGAAGCTGTTCCCCGAACTAACTGCCTGTAAATCTGAAAGCTTTTTATCCTTCCCACTAAAGCTGCGTCACTTCTGACTTTGCCTCAAGTCCCGACCTCTCTTTTGCAGGTGGACACAAAGAAGCTGCGCCAAGCCATCTACACAGCACTGGCTAATCAGTTCTTTATCTCCTTGCCCATGCTTGTGCCCATGTTCCACGTCATGAAATGGTGGGGCAACACCTTCAGCAAGGAATTACCCACTTTCCAGTGGTTTCTTGTGGAGCTAAGCATCTTCACCATAATAGAGGAAATTCTCTTCTACTATACACACAGGTGAGCTGAGCACAGGAACAGGACTCTGATTCTCCTCCATGCCTTTAAGCTTATCTCTTACAACAGCAATAATCCATAGTCCCCTCTTCCACCAGTCTAGTATTGATATAGAAAACTTTGAGGTCCTGAAGTCCACCCTTACAACATGAGGTTTTGGTGCCATTACCTAGAGTAAGCAAAGGTGGGTAAAATTGCAAAGGTGGAACAGCTTAGAAGCTAAGGAAGAATCAAAACAGGCAGCTTTGCACAAGAGCTGTGCTCTCTGAAAAGAGTGAGGCTGAGTATGCTGAAAGAAAAGAAGTTCAAAAGTCAGTGACTGATCTCCTGTTCCCTTGTACAGCACCTGTGAAACAGGGCCTGGCTCCCAACACTGCAGGATTTCTAGAGGACAAAGCTAGAACAAGGGAGACAAAAGCCTACAAAAGTCCATGCAGAAGTGAGCTCAGCACTCTCAGAAATATGTAGGTTTTCCTTCTAGACAAAAGTACCAAAAAAATGTAAAATCCCTTTCTTACAAAGGGCCCATGGAACCAGAAATTCTGACTCTTAATAGTTGCCAATTGGAAAAGTCAAAACAGAGAAAATGCAGTCCTCCCCTAAGCAGGACTCCCATATTTGAGCACATGATTCATTCAGGGACTGATTTATAAGATTTATCTGGACTAAGTTTAGCATCAGCCAGTGGACACATTAGTTGAGTGAAGACTTGATACTAGAGAGAGAGCTTGGAAAGCCAGCAGTCCTACACTCTTATTCCCAGCTCCTCTGAAATCCTTAAGTTAGAGGAGATATGAGCAAGTCTCCCACAGAAATCCTGTGTTCTGGTATTCCATGTTCCTTTCTGCAGAGCTCAAAACCTTCCTTTCTGTGTTTTGACCTTTCTGTTTGCTCTGCTTAGGCTTGTTCACCACCCAGTCCTGTATAAGCACATCCACAAGAAGCACCATGAGTGGACGGCCCCCATCGGCGTGGTCTCCATTTATGCTCATCCCATAGAGCACATAGTAAGTGGATTCTCCCATAATCACCCTCCAGCTGCTGTGTGGAGCGTGATTTCCTTGGGATTAGGAGGAGTGGTAAGAGAGGAGAAGCAAATGTGATCAGTGTTTGCGGGAGTGTCTCCCAGCGCTGCTCCTGCTGAGACTTCCCAGAAAACACATCCCACCTTGAAAAGATTCCACTCACAAGTCCCATCTCCTGTTAACAGGAGTCCTGGGCCAGAGCACCAGCTCTGAGTGTCTCTGTGTGTCACAGGCTGGACACAGTGAAGTGATGCAGATCATCACATCGCCCTGCGTGTCCACAGGCCATACCCTTTCACAGCGAGGTTTCCCAAGAGCAGCCTCAGTGTTATTCCACAGTGAAGGTGAAATGCATGACCTGAAACTCCAGGATGATTTGCTGGAACCACGCTGCCCTCACATCCTCACTTTAGTCTCACGTCTAACTTCTACTACAAGCTTAGGGAGCTTGGGCTGTGACTGTGGTTTGCAGATAGTAGAACTCTGTTAGCCCTGTAATAATTTTTTTGGATGATTATGTAACTTTATTAAGATGTTCCCAGAGGAATCTTCCCTTTATGCTGTTTGCACAAAACTAATGTCATGCATCACCCAGGTGACACAATTCAGCTCCTAGAGCAGGGTCTTCTTGTTGTGGAGCATTACTGAGGTGGTTTGTTCTCCTTTCCAGCTCTCCAACACGCTGCCTGTCATGACTGGCCCGATGGTCATGGGGTCTCACATCGTTTCAATCTCAGCGTGGTTCTCCCTCGCTCTCATAACAACAAGCATTTCACACTGTGGATACCACCTGCCCTTCCTGCCATCTCCAGAGTTCCACGACTTCCACCACCTCAAGTACGTCTGGGCACTGCTCAGCTTCCCCCTCCCTCCTGCCAGCACTCTGGCACCGCTGCTCAGCAGAGCCCCTTTCCAAGGGTCAAGCAGGTTTGCACAACTCATGCACGGGCAGAGCAGCTCTCCAGGTCACCTGCTGAATGCTGCCAGTCCTTACAGCAGATCAGGATTTCAAGGGACTCTGCAAGGCTCTTCCTAGAAGTTGAGAGGACATTTTATGTGATGTAAAGACAGAGCAAGGGCAAGTCACGCAGGTGAAATGAACATGCAGGAAGCCTGTCTGTCTGTTCCTCTCCCATACACTGGGATTAGTAACACTGATCAGATAACACCTTGCCCAGACAATCACAACCCTTCCTGGCAGAGATTCCCAGCCTCCTCCTATGCTAGAGAGAGAAGCTGCAGCAGGTTGTTCAGGGACACATACCTGAGCAGTGGAAGAATTGTTCCCATGTCCCAGGTGTGTACCAGATTCAGACGCTTCTCCAAGTCTGCCCCTCCTGCAGATCCAGCCCATGGGACAGTTCACCCGCCACCCAAATGTTGGGCAGCACCAAAAACATGGTGCCAGTTCTTACCTGTTGTTTCTTCTGAATCTCAGCTCCTGTCAGGACACAGATCACTGCAGATCCAAGGTGCTCTCTGGGCAGGACAGCTGTGCCAAGTGTCCCAGTGCTGGAAGCAGAGCCGCTCTGTGTCCCACGGCAGTCAGGTCTTGGGAGCACATGGAATGGTAATACCAATGTCCAGCTGCTCCCACAGCTCAGCTGCCTGGGAGAGTCGTGGCTGCTGCTCAGTGCCACCATTTCTGGGTAACAAAGGCACCAAAGAGGGAGGCTGCATGAGTTTCACCCAGGCTTCAACAGAGCTGCCAGGAGGACTGGTGCAGGGGCAGAAATCACACAGGCAGGTTACAGGCCTCCCAAAGAAAAGAAAATACAAAAGGTGAGGTAACCTCAGTAGCTTTCTGGTGATATTAATCTTTTGTTTGGTTCCCAGGTTCAACCAGTGCTACGGAGTCCTGGGAGTGCTGGATTATCTGCACGGCACAGACAGAGTGTTCAGACAAACCAAAGCCTTCGAGAGACACAAGGTCCTCCTCGGCCTCACTCCACTCTCCGAAAGCATCCCTGAGGCACCCAAGAGGGCTGAGTGAACCAGCCCAGCAGCTCCTGTGACCAGCAGAGTGAGAGACAATGATTTATGCCAAATAGTATTTTAATTGGGAAACGAGTTATTGTTCACACATAACGAGACCCGAAATGGAAGTTAAGCATGCTGCTGGAAATGATTGCACATTAACTGCAAAAACCTCCTGCTCTAGAAATCTATTTTTAAGCAAAATTTAGTGGGTTTGTTTCTTAATTACTTGCACTGTCCCTTGGTTCCAGCTGCCTGTGCATGAGCCAGGTGTGTTCTGGGCCACGTGGCTCTGGGGAGTTCTGAGAATTATTGTTTTGGCACCAGTTTCCACAGGCAGTGCTTTGGCCTCTCTCAGCAGCACTCACTCTGTAGAAACACCAGCAAGGTCACTGTAACTACATGTGATAGTATTAAAACCACTCTTTTTTTGAGACTCAGAGCACCTGGCACAGTGGATGCAACCCCTTGGAAAATCAGTGGTGCCACAGCTTTAGAAACTCTCCCCTGCATATGCAGCAGAGACCTGACTCCCCCTGAGCAATCTCTCCTGCTAGAGGTCAGTCCAGCTCTCAGTTAGGGCTGGCACGGCCTCATCACTGCTCCACAGACCAGCAGCAAACAAAGTGAGCTTCCCTCATGGGACAGGGAAGGAGCTGGGAGCTGATGTGCTACATGCCATCACCTCCTCCTGCTGAGCCTCATCCCACTCCGGGATACAACTACAATTCCACAATGCTAAATTACAGAAAGAGTCTTTCCAAGGAAAGCAGAGTCCCTGCTGTCCTGAGCTGTGCAGAGATCAGTGAAACACTCTAAGAAAGGATTCAACTCAGCAGCCCCCAGAGCTTTATGCACATCCCCAAGTACCTACAGACCCACCGAGACATACTGTGAATCTTCTCAATCTTTTTTAAGTTTCAATCTTGCCTGGGGGCCTGGGACAAAAATGGCACATCTCCCCCCAGTGCTAGAGCAGCCCCCCTGGGAGGGGACACGCAGGGCTGAGCTGCACTCACCTGTGGTCAGCCCAGCTCCACCTGTGGAAGTCAGCTCATTTCCACAGCCCTGCTCTGGTTCCTGCAGCCACACAGGGATGAACCCGGCCTGTTCATCAGCTCCCACCTCCCTGGGGAGGGCAAGTCAGCAGAACAGAAAACCCAGGCTGCGGTGTCTTTTGAAGTTTTTATTTTTATACATTTTTTTTTGTATTAAAAAGGAAAAAGCATAATTACCACAAATTACAAAGGACTAAAGCATTACTAGAATAATGAATCACATCAGCCTAGAAAGCAGATAATCTGAATAATATTAATGTTATAATACAAGCTCTCATTCAAGTATTTTACATTTTTCTCTTTTCCTTTTATACGTGATGATGATCCTAGCACATGGGTCAAAGATTATGTACTATCGACAGAGATGGATCATGTACAGCCGGCCGTATTAACAAGATTTTCCTCCCAAGTGATACATGGTCTGTGATGAGTCATTTTAAGTTTGTCTCTACGATAAATGCAGCTGTAGAAGGTTGCACACACTTTCTAGTTTGGGGAAACAGAAGGCTGAGATTGGACACACGGGGTTTGAGAAGGGCCAGCACATCGAACCATCACCCCTTTAGCTCCAGGCGAGCGAGCAGGGCTGCACTCGCTGGGGTGCAGCTCAGCAAGGGTTTCTGAGCCACAGATCCAAAGGTTTCCAACCCCAGCGGGACCAGGACAGGCTGGGAGGGGAGGAGGGGGGGCTGCACCAGGGAGGCTTGAAGGGACCAAGTGGTACCAAGCCCCCCTGGCGCAAGGCTGACACCTGGGGAGCGAGCAGGGACAGCACGGGGGCCTGGGGGGACCCCGGCAAACCCCACAGGGCCTGCTGGCACCCAGGGCACTCCCCGCTCCCCTGGAGCTTCCCACCAAGGGGATGTGCTTGTCACAGATACATCGGTCCTATGTTCAAGTGTCTGCAGAAAGTGAAACTGTAAACTACGCCTGGAAATGCTGCCCTCCAGCCGCCTGCTCCACGCCACTGAGAGGAACATCTGCTTAAACAAAAATTCATTTACCTGTTAACTGTACTGGAAGCTTTAAAAAACGCCCATGAGGCATTTAACATCAAGTGTAGCAACCCCCTCAAGAAGAGCCCAGCATCCATTTCAAACAGTGACAAGTGACATAACGAGCCTCAGAGGAGACAGGAGACAACAAGCATTGCAAACACAGCTTGCTACATTTACAATTTTCCTTTTTTTTTTTTTTTTTTTCCCATTTTTTCCTTTTGACAAAATAACTGGAAAGGCATTAACAGCTAGAAGGCCCCCTCTGCATTGCCATGCAGACACGTGGCAGGACACTGAGGTTAAACACGTCAGTTTGTTACAGTACAATCGACCAGTCCCGAGCAGTTCCCAAAACTCAAGGGACCCCCGTCAGGGGGCCGAGGGGGCAGCAGAAGAGGGACAGACAGGCAAAAACGGAGCAGCAGTATTATTACTTTTTTTAATTTTTTTTCCCCAAATGAGCATGGCAAAGCAACAAAACCTCCTCTGAAAGACACCTTCTACCTCCACTCCTGAGCCCTGTGCCTATTGCAGCCACCTGCACCCCACAGATGAGCTGACCTCAGCAAGGAGCCCCAAGCGGTGGCAGCCTAGAAGACCTCCTGAGAAGAGGAACACACCATCCCCTCCCCACCAGCCTCCCTCAGCCTTTCCAAAAGCAGCTGGGGCTCCCCCCAGGCTGTGCCAGCAGCTGGGCACTGGCACCAGCACCACGCAGCCCTTGGGGCTGTGGGATGGATCAGCGCTCACAGGAGCACACGTTCAACCACTCAGACCTCTCAAATCAAAAAAAGCACAGAACACGGGGAGGTGAAGGATCAAAGCTAAAAGCAAGGCCAAACTCCCTCCTCTACAGGAGGGCAAGAACTTCCTCAAATAAAATCCCCCTCTGGACAGGTGTCCCTTCATTCAGCTGGAACACGAGTGGTGTGCGGTGCCTCCTGGCCTGGCCACAGCCACACACACTGCCCTCTGCCAGCACCCACCCCTGCACGGAGCAGGAGTGAATGGCTCTGTGTTCCCTCCATCTGGAGGAAGACAGGTGGGAGCAAGCAACAGCTGCCTCAGGCTGTCACGTCCATCTTTCCTTTGCTCTGCCTTGCCCGCTGCTGTGCAACAGACAGTAAAACAAGGCACACAGTCCACAAACCTGGAGGGTGGTGGGACCGCTGGGATTGCTCTTCTGACCCACCTTCCCCTGGGAAACAGGTGCACACACGGATGTGACAAACCACTCACTTGGCAGAGGGGGAAGGATAAACGCTGAGACAAGTCTCAGGCTCAGAAGTGAAAATATTTAAGTCAACTGAGATTTTGGGAAATTCTTGGGGAAACGTTCTACCTCTTCTACTACCCAAGCAATTCCACAGTCTGCTCCACAAGCAACAACTCCACAGCAGAAGCTCATTCCTCCTCATTTCCTATTATGTTCGTTGCTAAAACACAGACAATTGGTTTCAAAAGAGAACACACCCACAAGAGGAGCACAGGACACGGCAACGGGGCCACCCGCGCACATCCAGACCCGCTTCCACTTGCAAACAACCAGCAACACATCTCTTATGTCCAGCCTCCTCCTTCCCAAATCAGGGACAAACCTGGCTACATCCGTAACCTCAAGAGATCTGACTCTGGCTCACAAGAGGGGAAATCCAGATATAACAGTCACGGCCACAGCACTGTACAAGTGTTACTTTTTGCCCATCTTGCCCAGTTCCTACCCCACAACCCCAGAGCACTGCTGCCACAGTGGAGCATCCATGGCCTCAGCCAGGCTGGCCTGCTGGAATCTGGCCTGTGAGTGGTACCAGCTGCAGAGTGACTTGGCAGGGGTGGATGGACCAGGGCAGGATCACACCACCAGGAAACAGCAAAGCAGCAGCTCCCCAGCCTCTCAAATCCAGCTGTGCTGTCAATTCTAGCAGCAGTTCACAAATCCGCTTCGCTCCAGCCCAGCTCCTCCTACCAAAGCAGCATCCTCAGGGCAGTGTCAGTTTGGGAAGTGATGATCTCAGCCAGGGCCCGGCGAGCACCCACAGCCACTGCTGATGACAGCCTGACTGTGCTCCCTCTCCTGCTCCTGCTTCTCAGCTCCTGGCTGCTCTCACCCAGCCTGCAGCCACATAGGGACAGCCCTGGAGAGATGACTCCTCCCAGCTGAGAGCTCTGCATCAACTGGATCCTTTGGGAAAACACTGTTAGGTACCAGCTCGTGATGTTGCAGAGAGGGTCATGCAATGAGCTGTACCTTTGGAGTCACCCATTGCATGCCCGCTCCACACCACACAGGAGCACATTTTGCAGCTCAGGAGATGGAGCACCAGAGCCAAAGCCAAGCCATCTGCACAGCAGGTATTCCAGGGACCCAGGAGATGGAGCACGGTGGCAGCAAGGCAGGCGGGTCTGGCTGGAAAGAAAAAACCTTCCAGTGCTACCTCTGGAGCAACTCCAGAGGTAGCACTGGAAATCTCAGATCTCACTCCTCTGACACGTGCCCCTTAAAAAGCTCACAGGGTGGGGAAGATTTGCCTGCCAAAGCCCACCCGGTGCAGGGCATAAGGATCAATCAAGTAAATGCCACAACAGCTCTGCAGCCACCCCCTGTGCCTCAGCCACCAGCTGCATGGTGTCATCTCAGCCCTGGGAGGTGCACAGGGACTGTGCTGAGTGGGAGGCTCCATGCAGCCACCTGCCAAAACATGACACACAAGGCGAGAGCTCTCCCTGTGCTGGGCAGGTCTCCCGCTCGCCCCTGCACGAGTCCCAGCAGCAGCCCCGAGCCAGTGACTGCTCCGCAGCGGGACAGGGTTCCTAGGGCTGCATCACTCCCTGTCAGGCTAGGGCATCGAGTGGCACCAGAACAAGACAGCCCTCCCACTCGCTCACAGCAAGGACCAGTCCCTCCAGCTGCTGTGACAATCCCCCTGCTCACCCCCCAGCCACGCTGGAAGCACAGACTGGAGCAGATCCACCTCCTGCCCGGAGAGGGTGGGGGGTGTGAGCAAGGCCATGAGCACGTTCAGTCGCGGTCGTGGGGAGGAGGCTGCCATGGTACAAACACAGCAGAGCAGCTTCAACTACTGCGTGAGCACAAGTCTTGGATTTGACTGCCCTCGGCACCTTCACCAGGAGACTCAGGCCTGGCAGGGAGGCTCCATGACAGGAGAGGCATCCGAGCGAGCTGCGGGGTCAGAGGGAAGGCCGCAGGGAAGATCAGCTCGGCAGCAATGCCGTGAGGAGTCTCTGGGCCTGGGGGGGCCAAGTGCCCAGTGCACCCCAGGGTGCAGGAAGCCAACAAGCCTCCCCGGTCCAGCTCCACCATAAGGCAACTTTTTTTGTGTGGGTTTTTGGGTTTTTTTTGTTGGTTTTTTTTTTTTGTTTGTTTGTTTGTTTTTCTTCAATAGTATTTCCAAGGAAGAAAGCAAAGGGAGATGTGTCCTTTTAAAGAGTTTTTTGTTGTAGTTTTTTTTTTTTTTTTAAGAGGGGTTTGTGGGTTTTTTTTATGTCATGTCATTTTTTCCAAGGGAAAAGGAAGAGAAAAGCTCCTTCAGCAAAGTCCTGTCTTTGCACGCGATGGGCATTCCTGGGGCAGCGGATGCACCGTCCATGCAGGCTCGAGTCCAGGTGCCTGCCAGCCTCCCAACCAGCCATCCTCGCAAGAAGGAGTCAGAACAAGCCTATCCTTGGCAAAAGGTCCTTTGGTTGACTTCCAAATTGTCCGTGACGGAAGGGAGAGGTGGGCAGAGGGAAGAGCCAGACCCTCGGGAAGGTGAAGACGTTGGGGTTCAGGAGGGAGCGGGAGGACGAACAGGGCGATGCTCCTGTCGAGGTGGTCGGTGTCGGGAGAGGCACCGCCGTACGTGGAATGGGAGACGCCAGCCGAGTCATGGAGATCAGAGGCTCCGCAGCATCGTGACACGCTGTGGCTTCGGCCCCCCACTGGGGAACCTCGCTCCTCCGAGCTTCCTGAGCGGCTGCCCCGCGAGATCCGAGGGGGGACACAGACGGGAGTCGTTGGGGCCACACAGAGCAGACTTGTTTTGGTAAATCCAGACGAACTTCTAGCAATAATTTAAAACTTGATATATATATATAATAATAAAAAAATCTCCCCTTTCCAACCCAGCCAGAACACATTTTTTTTTTTTTTTTTGAAGAGACGCTAAGACATGAGTGTGTGCACAGGAGGGGAGGGAAGGGAAAGGAAAAGGTGGGTCTGCTGGGAGCGGGTCTGGCTCTGGTCAGGGTTGTAATAGCAAAATGGTGTTTTAGATGTAGATAGTCCTTGCTTTCCAGCCACAAGAGAAGATGATCGTGTGCGTTGAAGTTTCTCCCAAGCAGCCTATTCCTGGGCACCCACCTTCCAGCTCCCTTCCTGTCCCACCCCCTCATGTCTCCCCTTCTCCAAGCCAGTCCCCCCACCAACCCACCCCATCCCCCAGCAGGAAGCAGACGCTGCAGCCTCTCTACTTCCCCACTGTCTGCGACTCTGCAGCCGATGGGGCAGGGGATTGCTGGCTCAGGTTTTTGGCATCCTCTTGTGCAGGCTGGCTGGAGGCGTGGGCTTGGCTGGATGGGCACTGGCTGACCGTTTTGCTGGAAGACTGGGATGGGTAGCGCTTCCTGCCATCTCCCCCTGACGTCGAAGGGTATCTCTTGTGTCCACCTTCCTCCCCCATGGGTGGCTGGAAGAGAAGCACCCCAGTATCAGCACAGCCTCCTTCAAACGCAGGTGCCCTTCCCCAGGATCAGGAAACAGCCTTCCTGCAAGCCTCCAGTTGCAACTTCTCTCCCTGACCCACAAGGAACGCACGTATCCCAAGCACTCAGCTGCCCTCCTCTCCAAACCTCCCACTGCCAGGTTTGCTGACAGAATGACTGACTTCCAATCAAGCACAATGGTGATAACTCGTTCTTAGGCACCTGCTTCCCACACAGGAGCACAGTCTAGCAGTTTGGGAGCAGAAGCTCCACACAATGTTGGCTTTACTCAAACCATCAAGGCCCTCTTTCCCTCTCCATCCTCAGTTCATCAGGGAGGACGGGCTCATCCACCTCCCTCATCCCACTCTGAGTGGATATAAAATATTCCAACCCTGCAGATTGTTCCTGGCCCGGCTGCAATAACAGGGAGTGACAGTAGATGTCACTGCTCCCACTCCCCCGCCTGCCACCACTCGGGGACCCTCCAAATCCTCCATCCTTGGAGGGGCCAAGGGGTGTCTGCAGGTACATCAGTGCGGTGCAGGCGCTGTGTCTACTCACATCTACTCTGAAGTCCTCGAGGCGCTTGAACTTGCTGAGGTATTCTTGCAGTTTGCTGTTAATGTCCAGATTTTTGGCTTTGGAATATTTTAAGAAGGCCCAGAACTTTTCCAGCCCATAGAGCTGCCCTGGAGGGAAAGAAAACCAATCCAGATGTCAGCAGGACAAAAACCAAACCAGATGTCAGACACCTTTCCTCCAGGCTTCCCCACAGCCCCTCATGTCCCACTGGTGGGCAGAACTTAGGCAAGATGAAAAACCTTGAGGGAAGCAACCTGCAACAGTCCTCGGAAGCTCCCCTGACTTGGGATGTCTCCAAGCTCAGCTGAGCTGGTGGTGGCAAGACTCAGCCACTGCAGAGCCTTGAGAAATCTTACATGAACTGGTGTGCCTAAAGGAACGCCTTGGGAAAGCTACAGCCTCCCACTGCCCTCCTCCATCTCCCCCCAGGACTCTTCAGGACTGAGCATCCACTGACCCTCCCACGAAGTGAGCAACAGAACGTCCACCCCGTCCCCGTGGCACATGTTAACGTACAGCACTGTGTGGCTTCCCCAATATGGTAAGAAAAGGCCCAGGGGCAGCCCTGCAGCTGGGTTACATCACTGCCAATCCCAAAGGAGGCCAAAGGAGACACCTACCAGCTTCGTAATCCTTGATGGTCTCTTCTTGAAAGTCCTTAAATATGTCTGGCCGGAATTTCTTCTCCAGCCCGTAGCTGTAGTATCTGAAAAGGCACTCCAGACCGTACCTGGGAACAGAGCAGCACGTGGGGCTCACACACAGGTGAACCAACACAGGGCACAGAGGCTCTTGAGGAGAGAGCCCTGCTGAGCACCAGCAGCAGGTGACTGGGGGTGACCCCAGACCCACTTTAGAGCAAGGCAGAGCTGCTGCTTTATATGCTGTGAGCCCTGTAAAAGGCCAAACCCTTCTTCCCTCACTCCCCTCACAGGAGAGGCCACTCTGCTCCTCCTCTCCTACCTGTATCCCTCCTTTCCGTCCTCCACAGCCAGTTGCTTGAACTCCTCGTACATTTTCTTGTTGAAGTGATCTCGGAGGAAGAAGGACCAGAACCGGAAAAGCGTGTTCATCTCCTGGGACTGACCAATGCCCAGTCGTTTCCGTTCTGTTTTGGGAAGAAAGGATGATTACAAGGCCGATCCTCTCCCAGGGAATCAAGGGCTTATGTACAGGAGGGCCCCATGGCAACGTGACAACACCCAGCCCCAGTGCTGGACACCCTGAGCACAGCCCACGCTCTCCACAAACCGTGGGGACACATCAGCTGACAGCAGGGCTGTCCCACAGGACCCTGCCCGTGTCTGTGGCCGTGCCCTGTGGCAGTTCCTGCCCCCAGCACAGCGGAGCAGGGACACCCTGTCCCCCATTTCAGTGTCCCTACCGTTAAGGCAGCGCCGACGGTACTTGTGGTAGACGTGTTGTGTGAAGCCGTTCTCCTTGAGCAGCTCGTGCGAAGGGTGCTGGAACTTGGGCAGGGACTGTGGGGTGCAGCCATAGCTCCCGACGGCCGGGGTGCCCTCTGAGGGGCTGGAGCTGAGTGTGAGAGACTCCTGTCAACATCCTTCCTTGGCACCACCCAGCCAGCACGCTCCACCCACGGCACCTCTCTGCTGGTCCCACTGCTCACTGTGGCTGTCTACCCTGGGCTTGGGATCTGAGCCAGGGAATAGCCTACTAGGAAGGGAGCCAGCGTTTCTAACAGAGTTTCATCTTGCTGTTCTCCAAGGCTTCAGATTTTTTTCCCCAAGCCCTTCCAGGAGGAGCAAGTTTGGTCCCTAGTTCTTTCTGCGGTCACCTAAGAGGAGACTTCCCCTGCAAGAGCAGATGCTGCCTTTCCCCCTTCCTTCCCACACGCTCTCCCTTTCCCGTTTCTGGCTCCTCCATGATCCCTGGGGTACCTGATGGAGGCAGTTCGTGGCCTGTGCTCCCGAGAGTCCATCACCCAGCCCACGTGGCACTCCATCGGAGGGTTCGAACTGTGCCTCGTCTTCCTTTTCCGTGGAGTCTGCAAGACACGGTACATCAGGGCTGTGTTCCCTTCCTCCCTAGGCCCCACCTGGGAAACCCCAGCTGCCACCCCACAAGCCCAGCCCTGGTTCCCACCTTGGCATCTATCGTCCTGCCCTCTTTCACCACGGGGTAGAACCGGGGCGTCTGTGTCGGGTCCTTCAGCTGCGGCGTGCGGGGGGTGCGGGGGGTCCTGGCGTTGCGGTAGTTGGGTGATTCTGGTACGGTCGTGGGCAAAGACCGGGCGATGGTGGAAGGCTCAGGGACTCCAAACAGCTTGTTGGCCAAAGCGTCAGTAGGTACTGCAGGGAGAAGCCCCCCCCACCCAGGTCAGGCTGAGCTCTGAGCGTCTCTACCATCTGGCAGATGGGAAGTAGGGAGGGCAGGAATGCAGAGACATATCCCAGCCCTCCCACACGACCGGCTTCAAATCCAGCATGACATCATCAGCTTGGCCAGAGAGCCCAAAGCCTAGCAGCAGATCCAAGGATGGAGCTTCCAGGGATCCCACAAGGTATTTGCTTTCTAGTGGCAAACTACAGCGACAAATCCCCCATTCCCAGGAGAAGGACATGGCACTGGGAGCACACACAGGCAGCTGCCTTCCAGGTACTCAGAGAGGGTCCAAGAGGAAAGTCACATTCAGGTAATTACATCCAAACCTGCCAAGGTCTCACTCCACTGGGACACCCCTTCTTCTGCACCTCCTCTTATGGAGCCCCAAAACATTCAGTTGAAAGAACATCATTACTCTCGGAAAGACAATCCCACATGCCTGTGGCCCCAATTCCTTCTCCCTAGCTGCTACCCAACTTCAAGAACCTCTCTGCATAAGAGAACAGGGAAAAATTCAGTCCAACCCATTCATGCCCCATCTCTTACCTTGCTGGAACCTGGGAGGACCTGGAGGGACTTCTTGGTTTGGATCCACAGGGGGCTCTGGGGTCAGGGTGTCAAACTGCTCCCTGCTGATCATATTCACCTTCTTGAAGTTCTCCACCTCTTGCTGTGTTGGAAGAGGAAGATGGTGAAGCAACCAGCTGCCCTCTTCTGCCCTCATCCCATCACAACCATGGCTCTGCTTGTGCAACAACCACAGCACTGGCCCCGAGTGCAGCCACGGGGTGCCCAGAGAGGGACCTGCTGCACAGGGGTAGGAAGGGGAGGTGTAGCAGACAGAAAACTGGGCACTGCACAGTCCAGTTATGAACTATGAACCACTTGCTGCTCCCCAAGCTTCCTGGGATCCTTCAAGGCAGCTCCACTAATTAGCACTTGCTTCTCTCAGGCTTTTACCCACCCAGGTCAGTGCTAGTGCAGTAAAAGCTCAAGGTGAGCTCAGTAACCTGTTCTTAGCCAGGTCCCCCCTGCCACTGCCAGGGTGTTGTGTCCCTGGAGTCCCCTCCCCACACCCCCACAGCAACACCAGCAGTCAGGCATAATGCTCCTGTGTATCTGAAGGACCCACACCCACAGCACACACTGTCCCTGTCAGCTGCTCTCCCCACAGCTTCTGTCTCCCAGAGAGCAGCACTGCTTCAGCCATGAGCCACGTACCAGATGTGGAAGCACTGAGCCCAGCTGTAGCTCCAACAAGTCACCCCACTTGAGCCATAATTTCTGTCACTGAGCAAGTCCAAGCAAGTCCCCAACCGTGACAGTCACCAAGTTTGGACTCAAATGTTTCAAAGCAGCAGATGGGCTTTCTATAAAAAGCCCATGTCTGTGCAAACTGACACCAAAATGGAGAAGAGCAGAGGCCAAGTGCAGCCATGTTCCAGGTCACCTCACTACTTGTACTTTGTTTACCTGGCTGCAGCCTTATGTCTTGTTACAGAGCTGTGTTTATCCTTGACATGGCAGAGCATGATGCCTGGAACCAGGAAGCCCAAACACTGCAAGAGGACTAATCCCAGCTCAGCTCTACCCCATGAGTGGGCTGAAACCTGCCATACTGCCCTTCTCACGCCACATTAACCATCAGCCACCATGAGGCTCCCCACAGCCCACACCACACACACTCCCCTTCCTGGATCAGCCGCTCTCACCTTGATCTGCGAATACTCTGGCTCGAACTGCTCTGTCCACAGGTCCTGCTCGTAGTAGTAGAGCCCATCATTGATCACCTTGGCCAGCTCTGAGCTCATTTTAGCCCTGGAGGTGTGGTTGCCAGTCCGGTCCCCACCAGGATGCCGGCGCAGGTAAGGAGGGGTCTGCGTCACGATGAGGATCTTGTTCACGTCGCGGTCGTCGATCTCGTAATCGGAATCTTCATCTGACCAGTCAGTGAAGGTGTTCTTGCGGCCATCCATCTGCTCCATCTCCTCGTCGAAGAGGAAGTCCAGCTCCTCAGGCTCATCTTGGTCCTTTTGCTTTTGCTGCTGCGGTGTCTTTGACTCCTCTGGTTTCTACAGGTAGGGGGGACAAGGGTGACACAGGGTAAAGACCACACGGCAAAACAAGGGACAAGAGACCCAGCTATTGCCCCTTATTTCTTTACTCCAGACAGAACACCTTATTTACACCACTGAGGAGCAGCTGCAAAGGGGGTCACAGACCCTATTTGATCTGAAGCCTGCCAACTTATGATTCAAGTCACCTCAACAACTGGGAGACCCCCCACTACAACAGCTCCTACATCACCACCTACTTTGGGCCTGGCTGGGGAAGGCCGAGGCCTCTTCTTCACTTCAATCCATGTCTCTGAATCCAGGTCTGGCAGACTTGTGGACAGGCCCTTGGGCATTGTCTTCAGGTTACTGACCTCTTCTGTTTTGGTGGGGACAGGGCTGGCAGGACGTGGGGAGCCAGGAGCAGACTCTAGAGCCAAAAAGAACCACAAGGTGCTTTAAAAGAAGGGAGGGAGCCTGGGGGGTTGTGTACTTACAAATTACCCGACCAAAGGAGGAGTCATTCTGGCAGCACAGCACAGCTTGCAGGACTAGCTGGCATCCTGTGGCCGAGGCTACCAGCACAGTGCCCAAAGGTGCTGGAGTGGGAATCTCCAGTTAACGCCAGTGGTGGCCACAAAGCTTTGCAGGTGACAGTTTCCCAGACACACAAAGCCCTAAGGCAGGTGCTATGCTGCTCCCTGGGAAACCTTCCCAAGACAGTCTGGAGCCAGTGGGAATAGATCTTCTCCTGCCAAAACTCTTACAGGAGAAGATCCTCCAGTTGGTCTCTCAGCTGCAGGCCTGGGCTCCTGCCAGCCCCCATGGGGTGGGGTGACAAGAGCAGGAGCAGCCCTTGAAGGACAGCAGACCCTTCCCCAGCACTTGGTTGGCAGCTCCACACCTGCTGCCCAATTTGTGCCCACTATCTCCTCAGCCAGTAAGGAAAAGTTGGATTCCCAAGTGTCCTCTGCTCCACCCAGCAGCCATAAAACTATTTCCAGGCACAGCCAAAAGACTTCCAGCAGGAGTGACCCTCCCCAGAACCCTTCAGCCCCCAGAGAGGAAAAGCCAGAGAGTCAGTCTCTCATGTTTTCCCATGTATGGAGGCAGCAGCTCTGGGGTTCTAAGGACAGAGCCCACACCAGCTCCTATCACCATGCAGAAAGCCAGTGGCAGAGCCCTGCACTGGGGAACACTCCTGACTATCAGGGTATCTGTACTGTTGCAGTCCCAGCACTGCATCCCACACGTCCCTCCACATTCCCCCAGTGCTCACCTGTCTCTTTCTGGAAGCTCTGCCGGGGCACAAACTCAGGGCAATTGATGAACTGTGAGAAGTCAGTCTGAGTGTAGTCTGCCATAGGAGGGCCAGGCAGAGCCCATTTTTCTGGCTGCTCTTTTCTCCTGATCTTCTCATCCACGATTTCCACCACCTTGCTGTCCTTCAGAGCCTGGAACCACAGGATACTTGGTTAACTTAAGGCCCTGCCTTGGCACGTTGAGAGGCTAACTCGTCCACAGAAAACAGGAACCACACAAAGGGCGGTGAGATGCAGGCCAAGAAGGAAAGGTCATCTTTCCTTGCCCTCACCTTGATGATGAGGCTGATGTCAGTGGTCAGTGCCTGCACCCGGTGGAAGCTGGCGATCAGGGTGATGGGGAGGAAGCCGTCCGAGTCCATCTTGCGGCGCAGGAAGAAGTCTCGCTCCAGGTTGTCAACACTGAAGTAATATTCTCTGTATGGACAACATGCCAGTGAGAGGAAACTCTGAGTCACTGTCCCCTGGGCAACCCCTAAGGAATATACCCCCCTCCCACCTAAGCTACTGAAGGGAGAAGCCTGAGGAGCCCAGATGTGGGGCAAGCAGCTGCTGTAAATGAAGCAGAGCGTCAACACACCTCAGTTCTAACCCTTCCCATGGGACTGGCCACGCAGTCCCCATCACCACCCAATGCTCAGACAAGGACAAGAGGTGGTGCTCACATCTGCCTCTTGATGTAGTCTTTGAGCAGCTCCTGGTCCACGCTGTAGAGCTCAGCACTGCTGATGTTGTCGAAGTAGTAGGTGATGTTGCTGGCGTACTTCTGGGTGCGGGAGCCATCCGAGCCCTCGAATTTCCGGTACCCATACTGGTAATCGAAGTGCCCTGTGGGACACCAGAAAGGGTCAGCACAGACACGCTGGGATGTGCCAGACAGGATGCACTGTCAGATGGGGCCAGACTCCTGCATAAACAGTTCCCCCTGCACTGTTCCTGAGGACCCCATGGCAGCCCATAATAGGGCACCTGCATGCTCTCTGCCTTTGCCACAGGAGAGTCCAGAAGCCCTCTTATCCAGAGCAACTGGGCAGCCCAGCTGACACACAAAGGCCCTATACTGAAGCCAGGTGAGGGTTAGCACAGACACTGCCCAGTCAAATGCCAGAGTAGATGCTCTTCCTTATTCAAGACACGCTTTCTGCATGGCTCTGGACATAAAGCCTACAGAGTACCAACATGTTTCACCTCCTGCTCACAGAGGTACTTCAAGGGACAGAAAACAGGAAGAAGAGCTTGGCCTGAGTAGATGGAAGACATTTGCTTTTATCTAAATACTAGTAAGAATTTTTTGCTTTGTTAAAAGCAGCTCAACTTATCAGCTGGGATGACCCGCCACAATACTTCCTTGTACGCCTACAGTGCTCTGCCCTTCCCAGCCCACTTTAAGATGCCCAGATCTCTCACACAGAGAGATGCAGAACTGTGCACACTTTTGTCACATGCTCAGTTCTCTCCCTGCTGTCACAAGACCACACAAACACTGATCACCTCCTCTGCCACGGCCACGGCCCCTGCCACGGCCCCTGCCTCGGCCCCGGAAGGTCCCTCGCACGGCCCCTCCCTCGCTCTTCACGCTGGAGGTCTCATCGTGGTCCTGCCAGCTGCGCTCGTGCTTGTTGTCTGGGTGCCAGCCTGCAGCAGACAGGGAAGGAGAGGCAGAAGGAGCGTTAGGGGATGAAAGCACCTCCCTGGAGCAAGCCCGCTGCACCCAGAGCCCTCTGAAGGCAGGAAACATGCCCACTGGGCATCAGGGCTTGCTGTGCCCCACGGCCAGGGCAGGGAGCAGGTCCCAAGCCTGAGCCCCCACCTTTCAGCTCGCTGCGGTTGTTGGAGGGGTGCCTGTGCTGCTCGTTTTGCCGGTTGTTCCGAGAGGCGGTTTTGTCCCTAGGCACCTCTGACTTCATGTCTATCTGCAAAGGGACCCACTTGTGTTTGTTGCCTGCAAAAGGACAGGGTTTGGGTGTGACACAGGTTCAGAGAGCATCTGCTTCCTCTCCCACAGCCCTCTCTTGCCACACAGCCCCCACGCACGGAGGAGAGAAAGTAGCGGGGCCTTCTGGATAGACCTTGTCCTGGGACATCCCTCCAGGCCTCACTGGATGCAGAAAGGCACTGACCAGGACTCTCAGGCATGGAGGGACATGACACAGAACTTGCCTGTTGCACTTGCCACAGCACTTGTCCCCCCTCTGCCCCTGCTCAGACCAGACCGAGCCCATGTGTCAACCACAGCTGACACAACCCACAGTCGGGCTGTTCTGTGCCACCACAGAGCACAGGGAGGGCTGACTCCTGTCACACCCCTGCTTGGGCCCTGCTCCCACTAAAATGACACTTTGCCCCTTTGAAGTCTGCAAACACCTTTCACTACAGCTGTCCCCACACTGGGATTGTTTCCAGCAGTGTGGCCCCCAGGGAAGGCAGTGGATGCTTCCACCTGGGTTGTGGACAGGGAGACAGAGCGATTAATTCAGGAGCCCTGAATTAATCGGAGGGCCACGGGACTGAACCCATCAGGTTCTGCCTTACCTTTCTTCTTCTGGGCTGACTTCTGGTTGTCATCATCACCGTTCTTCTCCTCCCCAGACTCATCTGATTTGGTTTTCAGGCTCTCTTTGCCATCACTCCCATCCCCCTTCTCCTGCTCTTTCATGTCTTTCTTGACAGGCAGTTTCCGAAGGGCTGGTGCTTTGTGTGGCTGCTGGAGACACAGCAGTGCAGGAAAGATGTGAGAGGTGGGAAAAATGAAGGGCTGAAGGTAGAACCCAACTGTCCCACCAGGAAGACCTTGTCCTAGGCTGGAAGCATCCCTGCTCTGCACCTCCCAGAGCTGTCCTGCTCGTGGATGAGTGTGGCAAGGGCCTGGGAGATGCTGGGAAGTGTTCAGGATGTGCTGAGACACCAAGACTGCCAGGGAGGCCTGGAGCTCCTGGATGGGAGTGTCCTATAAGGACCAGACTGGCAAAACAGTGAGTGACAGACAGCCAGGAACTGACAGAGCAGCATTCAAAAATAGAAAGGTTTCAATGACACCCATGTCCCTTAGCAGGAGAAGAAGGGCCAAGCTCCTCAGACACACCAGCCCTTTTCTCACACATTTTCAGTTCCTCCTATGGAAGAACTGACTTTGGCCCAGGTCCCTTCCTGCACTAAGCAGCCCTTAGGTGAGTGTGTCTGGGAGCTGCCTTACCTGTTTCACCCAGCCCAGGGTTTAGACTGGGCTCCAGATTCCCAGAATAGCACTGAGGGAGGGAGTCGATTGCATGGGCAGCCCTAAAAGGAAATCCCCTGCACGCTATTCCTGGCTGTCTCCACACTGACACTCAGCACCCCAAATGGCCTGGCTCAGCCAGTGCTTCCAGAGGGACAGAGAGGTCTGCAAGGGCCTTATCTTGCTCATTGCAGTGGTTCTGGGTTCTCACCTGGACACTCTTGTGGGCTATTTCTCCAGGTGTTGGCCAGTTTGTGGCATCACCGAAGTCACCAACCTGGAATCCAAAAAAGAAAGGTCCTGTTAGTGCTATTCCCTGCATTAGGGGAGCCAGAAGCCCTTCCATGCACCACTGTCCTACAAACAGCTGTCCCTGGGAGGCTTGAGGGAGACATCCAAACTGCATATACACAGCCCCTCTCCCCCCCAAAGCAGAGCCCCTGAATTAATCCCAAGAAATGGTGTCTATCACCAATGGTAACAAGGCTGTCACAAGTCCTGCAAGCTTCCAGCCTTTCACCAAACATTTTGCCTCAGCAGTAGCATTTGGTAGGCAAGCAGCCCAGGCTAACTCACCATAAGCACCATCCCCTGGACAGGGAAAGCACTCAGTTTCCACACTGTAAATCCACCTGAAGCAACTACATCCCCTTAAAGAACTTCCTCCACCTAGTGGCAGGTCACAGCCAAGCACAGGTCCACTTAAGTGCCCACGTGCCAACAAGAAAGCAAACAGATTGCCTGGTAGGATTGGTGAGAAAATTCAAGCAGGTGATGGGATCTCCCTCATTCCAGTCACCCCATGCCCACACACGGAACACCGGTCATTTCTCCACTCAATATGTGACCTGACCATTACCACTGTTTTTACCTCTTTCACATTTCAGAGAGAATCAGAAGACAGAGGAAGGAACCCACCAAACAGCTGCCCAGGCACCAATGAATGGTGGCTGGGCACTGAGTTTATCTGGGCATAGAAACTCCTCATTGCCCCCGTGGGGTTTTTATTTCTGTATTGATTTGGAGTCACTGAGTTCCTGAGGAGATCACATCTTTACATTTAGGTGCCATGCTCCTCTCCTCAGGAGATAGGTTTCCTTGGAAAACCAATTCCAGTGCAGGGCCATGCCTCTGTTTCACAGACAGGAGCAACTTCCATCCCCAGGGCCCTCCTCCCTCCAAAATGGAACAGATAAGAAAAGTCCTATCAAGTTGCAGACCTGTCTTCAGTGGTTGCTGGGAACCAACACCAACAGCCCCTGTCCCTTGCTGTGCCCCAGCTGCATGTAACATCCTCAAGAATAACTGTCCCTCCATCACACATTCATCTCCTGGAACAGATTGGCCTGGTTCCTCCAAAGGAGCTGCTTTGTTTGAAATCAATTACCCTGTCTCTCCATGTGCCAGTGAGGAACAGACTGCACAGGGAAGAAGGGACCTGTGGACACACCGCTAATCACTGCCCTGCCTGCACTGCAAAGCAGGGCACAGGCTGAGCCCACAAGTAACTTGGGGTGTCCTTGCAGTGGAGGGAGAGATTTTCTACATCCAGGACTGCTCCAAGTGCCCCCCTGTGGGAGGAGAGGTGAGAAGGTTTTCCCTTGCCTAGTTGGATAGAAAACCAGACGAGGCATCATGCAAGACCACTAAAACGCTGAAGAGATGGAGAATCACAATGTTCTCCTCCACACTCTTGCAAGCAGCCACGCCAGCCCCTCCATAACCAGGCTTGCCACGGGAGGGGTCTGCTCTCCAGGCCCTCAAGATGCTCAAGCAGCACTAACAACTGCACCAGAAGCTGGAGGAGCAGCAGGAACAGCCTTACCTTGCTTCCTTTCCGCTGTCTTGGGTTGGCAGCCCTCACCACTTTTGCTGGAGTTGTAAGTTCTGCAAGAGGAGGAGGAGAACAAAACTGTTAAAAAGACAGCTGAGGGCTGTGGGAATGTTGGCTCTGGAGGGAAGCAGGCAGGAAGCAAACCAGCTCCCCCTTCAGCAAAGGAGGGCTAAGAGGAAAAGGTGAAGAGAAAACAGAGCCAGCTTCTGACCTGAGTCTCTGAAGGGCCCTATCAACATCAGAAAATCAACCCAGGTAGCCAAGAGATGGACCTTTAACCCCATCCTGCTGCAGGAAGGCACTCCCCAACTTAGTTCTGCCCTCTCGACTCGGCCTTGCCAGCTGGGGAGGAGGGGTTTCAAGGAGCTCAGCTCGCTGCAAAGCACCATGGAGAACATGATCTGCTCTGAACAGCAAAGTAAACACGCCCTTGAACAGCCAAGGCCCATCGTGGCACCATGGCCAGCCCTCGCCAGGGTGCAGAGGAGGGCTCTGGTGGAGGGATGCACACACAGGCACTGCTGTCTCCAGGTTTGAACTTCAGCATCCCAGCAGAGGACAGGAAGTTCACAACAGGGAACATACAGAGAAAAGGATCCACATCCATAAAGTGTTTTAACGCATCAGAGTGCAACTGTTGGGGTTCACACCACCACAGACCTCACACGAAGTCAAGACCTCAACCCCACCATGACCCATCTTGGCTCCTGCTCACACATCACCTCCTTACAGGCAGAAATAGAAATTTGACTTGTTTTGTCCCTCACAGGTTTGGCTGCAAGGTCTCCGGATCAGGCTCGTGCAGGGCACACACAGTCTAACAGAGCAGCACGTCACTGCCCGACACAAACCAACCCCGTGAGGACCAGGTACGAGGGTCTCCTCCAGCACAGGGGTGCTCCACAGGGAGAGGAGAGCCCCCTGTCCCCTGCCTCGAGGGGTAGCCCGTGCCAGGTGCCACACAGCCCCAGCAGGAGAGAGCTTTTCCGCTGACTCATCGGCTTTGTTTAAAACCAAAGCAGCCCTGACTGGGGTAGGGTGAGGGTGGGAGGTGGGTGGATAGCAGAGGCTATCTGGGGATGCCCCAGGAAACACCCTGAGTGGCCTACTCAGCTCTACTCAAAGCTGCCTTTGATCTCCTGTGCAAGGCTGGACAACTTTGCCTAGATGATCAAAACCGGTCCCCTTCTGAGCCTTGAAACCGGTGATTCATCCTGCCGGCCCGGCCTTGCTCTTGCTCAGAGCTGGAGGCTTTGAAGTGTCAATAAGGCAGAGTCAGACACAGCAGGACAGAGCCATGTCCTCTCTCTGAGGCATCTGCATAGGGATTACAACTCCAGAAAAGTCCAAGCTCTCAGATGAGTCCCTGGATCCTCCCCTTTCCTGCAGCACCACCCCAATCCACCTGCACTGCTTCCCGTCATGAGAAGTGGCAGTCCCATGCGTCCCTCATTTATTCCACATGCACTTCATTGAGAATCCCAGCTCTACTGCACAAAGTTGCCACAAGGCTTTTGAACTTTCCTGATAGTGGAGGATGAGCAAGTGCTTTCAAAACAGCCCCCAAAATCCTCCCCTCAACACCCACAGATGTCACCACCTAAAAATAGCTTCAAAAGGCACCAGGAGCTACAGCACCCTCAGCCAGCCCAGTTTTCCACACATACAGAGCACCCCTGCCTGCTCCAAAAGCACTGACATGACTGGCACTGCACAGAGAAATAAATGAACTTGCTCTGCAGCCTGATTAGACACTGATCTCCTGGGCTGGAGGCAGCAGGGCTCCCTCTCTCCCTGTGAATATCCTATCCCAGTGCCTGCTCCCACCATGCTGCTGCCCTAGTGATGGCATCCAGCATTTTCCTCCCGCTGCTTCAGCTGAGGAGCCTCACAGCCATAGATGTTCCTGTGCTTTTTTTGGGGACCAGCCAAAGAATGGTGCCCTCACAACCGCAGTGAAAGGGGACGAAGGGGCACAGGGGTGTGTGCCACAGACTCAATCAGCTTTGCGGGGGAGGGAGGAGACTGTTTCAAACAAGTTCTGCTGCTTTCCTTATCTGCAAGATAGGAACAGGGATCCCTTATCTTGCTGAGGTGCTGAGAAGACTAATTAGCATTTGCAGAGCGCTTCGGAAGACAAAACACAAAGCAAAGGGCTGCAGCCAGGCAGCGAGGGAGGGAAGGAGGCTGCTCTGGGCAGCACAGCCAAGCCAGAGTGGATGATGGAGTCGAGATCCAGCAATTCATGGTGGAGACCAAGGTAGGAGAGAGGGTGTGACAGTGCTGGTGGACAGACAGCTGGACACACCATCCACCCAGGCAAGACCCTGGTGAGCAGAAGCCGTGCATGCCTGGCACCCTCCAGAGCACACCAGCCTAACCCAGGGCACCAGTTTCAACCCATCAGCAATTCTGGAGTCAAGCTCCTAGACATCAAACTCAAAACTGCTCTTCCTGTTGTTCCCTTGCAGAGACTCTAGCAAACACAAGTGTTTTAAAAACCAAACCCAATACACCCCAAACACATTTAGGTTAATCCAGATGCTCAGGCTCCAGAAGAAGTCCTTCCTATAGGGACAGCAACACATCTTGTGGTTCTGAGCTGCAGAGATCCTCTATGCAAAAACTCAACCATCCTTTGTCACTGCATCTACCTGGGAAGTGGGGAGCAAGTGGATGCTTCTCACCCCACATAAGAGCTCAGGACAAGCAGTGAGGGACACTCATTACTGCCCTGGTTCACAGCTGGCACTTAAAAGCTGCTGACAGATGTCTCAGACCTCTGGTCATTTCACAAACCTCCTTTTACATTTATTTGTTGGCAGTAAGCAATTTTCAGTTGCACCAGCACTCCCTGACCAGCCCCCCCAAAAACATGGCCTCTCTGTGTGAGGGGACAGACAAAACAGCTGTAGCAGGAGCCAGAGCTTTAGTGGTGTGAGACTGACAAGGGGACAGTGGGCAGGGAAGCAAGGAGCAGCTTTGCCTGCAACCACAGAACAGATGCTGGCACAGCCAGGAACAGAATAAGCAGGTCTCAAGTTCTGATCTGCTGTCTGCAGCCAGAACCTGATCGTTTGCCCAGCCATGAGGTTGCCCAGCCTCGAGGAGATTATTTCTTAGCAACTGAGGGGACGAGGCACAGGTGGGAGCACCCACAGTGGCCCCAACACCAGTTTCGTAGTCAAACCCTTTCCATGGGCACAGCACAGCCAAAGCACTCACTGGCTTTTGACGTTCGCTCCCCAACGCACCCGACAAACACCACGGGCAGGGCTGTGCAGACACCTCGTGCTTTCCTCCAGCCCACGGACGGCGGTGGCACAGCCCTCGGGGAGGGAAGCTCATGGGGGCATCCAGGTGAGTGAACGCCTCGTACTTGGAAGGAGAGGAGCCGTTGCACAAGGCCAGGCAGAGTGACAGCACAGCCCAACCAGAGTGACAGCAGATCCACAGCAGATTTCCAACCCAAGAGGGATATGTGCCACAGGACAACTGAGCTTGGCCTAGGAGACCTTACCTCTGAAAATCACAAACACCCTCCAGCCTGGTTCCCTGTCTTTTCTTACATCCCAATGCAATTTGTAATGGAATTTTAGAGAAGGTGGATGAAGGAAGGGAATAAATTACGGCAATGGGCAGAGACCTGGCATTACACTGCAGAAATACTTGCACCTATGGCAAGAATGCTGTAGTGCCTACTTCAGGTGTACCACTCGTGCAATGGAGACAAAGGCTCACAGAACCCCAGCACCAGCTGGGACAGCCCAAGAGGGCAGCCCAGGCTTCCAGTAGGAATGCAGAGTCCTCAACTCCAGCATATGTCCTATTCCTGAAACAGAACACCCCTCCTAACCCAGCAGCCAAGACAACAGAAAGGAGCCGGCCTGCTCCCGCACTGCTCCAGCCAACAGCCTGGCACCTGAGAAACTGCTGATAAGGGTGGTTTCAAAGCCAAGAGCCCGGACTTTGTGCTGGAGAGGCTGAGGCAGGGGTGCATGCTCTGTACTGCAGGTCCTGACGGGGCTGGAAGAGCCAAACTGGTATCCCCAGTTTCCCCAGAGCCCCCGCAGGAGCTCGAGGGTGCCGTGGAGGACAGATGGCCACGTGCCCAGCGGTCCACCAGGATCCACTTCACTACTCTGTCTCCAAACAATCCTCCCTCCCTCCCACGCTCCACGGGACACTCCTGGCACACATGAAGACCATAGGTCATGATCACCACCATGGGACACCCACTCTGGCAATGCTCCCTGGAGGTTTTTAGGTGAGAAAGAGCAAGTGCAGCTTGGGCAAAGGTAAGCTGTGCCCAGAGTACCCAGGGGGCTTGGCAGGTTGCAAGTGAGAAGGGAAATAGTGCCACAGTCAAAATGACACAGCAAGGACAATGTATGGCATTAACCTCCTGAGAAACCAGTGGACACCCAGGTATGACAACTTCTGAGACTTAAGATAAACCATTAGACAGCTTACACTCAGAAGGACCTCTACTCGCTCACACTATTGGTATATACACATGCTCACTGTTTGGGCAGAGAAAACCAGCCTGGGATTAACTGTTTCCCCTGGAGACAGCTTCTTCAGAGTCTTTCTAGGAGGGCAGGAGAGTCCCTCCTGGGGTACTGACACACAGGAAAGATGTGGTGGGACAGCACCAAACTGCAAAGCAACTCCCATTAGACAGACCCAGCATGCAGTCAGCCACAGCCAAGCCTGCCAGGACCCCACTGTGGCTGCAAGAATCCCTTTCTTGGCCTAAAAGGAGACTCAGAGAGCCAACAGAGAACAGCTCCAAAGGTGCATCTTCTTCACCTTGCCAACACAGGAAACTCAGACTACCAACCCTGTCCTTCCTCACGAGTTGAAAAGCCTGGGATTTACAGCACTGATGTTTGGCATGCTCACATTCTGCTGCTAAAGGCATCACAAACCTTCACAAAGCCAGCAAGGTTCAAGACAGACTCAGCACAAAGACTGCAACTCCTCTAGGTTTGAACCTTTTATGGCTTCACCTCCCACCAAACTGCAGTGGCAGCTGGAGGCGTGTGCATGC